TGAATGGCTGCACGGCCGTGTGTTGGGTCCTGGACAGGGATTTGATTTATTTGCATTATCTGACAATCACACAAACTTGTGCCTCTTTCCCCCAAACATAAAAAATTTGAATGAATAAAGACATAAGCAAGATTACAAGTGCTGCTACTTTGCCTTTGGCGTGCTCAGAAATACCCAGATGGGAATGTGATCTCTGTTGCAAATAATTAATCACAGAGGGATTACAAGGAGAAATATGATGCTGGTAAATGTCTGAGATTAATTGGAAAGGGCATCTGCATTGACAAGGTTTATTCATGCTTTGTTGTCGGCCCTATCACTTCCAAGGGAGCTGTCCTGGCACTTGCAGAGAGTGACTGTTTTTTTCTAAGTTTGAATGTACATATGAAGAACCTGAATTAGTGTAATTGTTTACTAAATTGATTAACAAGTTACACTGTAGAAATATTAAACCTTGTCCTTTCAGTGTGTTCACAAGGCTGTCCTCTCCTTCTTACTACTAAGCCTATTTATCAGCCTAATCTCATGTGATGCATTTTATCCCGTTTAAACTTGCAGAATGTAGTTTGTTTAGCGCAGCCTATCTAAACTATTTGATCTGCCTGAGTGTTGGATACTTACTGCAGCTTCACGCTTGCTGCAGGTTAGGATTTCATGCCTGTGACTGGATTTCATGCCCTCAACACCCATAGGTCGAGGTTTTCACCCTCTTTTTCAGATGGGGACTGAAGATAAAAGAGTTTGGGCACCTTTCTCACAATTGCAAAAGTAAGCCAGTGGCAGAGCAAGGGATAAACCCCATTTTGCTTTCCTACTGTGTTACAAATTAACCTAAAACATTATTGATGAGCACATACTGTTTTCACTGATCCTTGGATTTTCTTCTGGCATCCCGGCCGTTCATAACGGCGTAAGAAGCCTTGAGTGTGAGGGCACGTGGTGAAAACTGGTAGAGAGCAGGGTGCAGTGTAGATTCCAGCATGGGACGTGGGGTATCCACCTTGCACTAGGAGGTCTGTGCACACAGTGGCTTGTACCCAATGGAGAGAAGGGAGTTGCAAACACCAGGAGAGCATTTGGGAGCAGTGAGAGAGGGAGGCTGGACCTTGAGGCTACGGCCACTGGAAAGAAGCATCTTGGATGGATTTGCTGCACCGATCTGGTTCGGGAGCAGGAGCAACAGGCACCTGATGCAGCAGCTTCCCCCTGTTTTAAACGTTCTTGACTATCAGAGATACCAGTGAGAGGCTGGGGCTTGTTTGGGCACAAAAGGGCAGGGGAAGAGGGTGCACAAGAGCTTTAGGAAGCGAGCAGCATTCCTGCTCTCCCCTTTGTGAGGGCCAGGCTTGGAGAGTACCCACCACGCTCCCACAAAGCAGAGCTCTCCTCCAGGCCTGGATATATTTCCTGGGGACCAGGCAAGGAAAACAGCACGCAGGTGGTTTGAGGGAAGCTGTTTGCTGAAAGGTCACTGGCTGGCTCCCAGGCAGGCACCTCTTGTGTCAGTAGCCATCTCTGTGCTCCAGGCACTTCTCCATGTTATGCAGAGCCCGCTCTGAAGGAGGAGTGAAGCAAGTTTATTTTTTGCTATGGATTTGAAGATGGAAATGAGTCAGTGACACATATGTCAGAAACAACTAGGGATCTAGAAAGGACGAGACGTAGCAATGTCTTCTGAGGATGGATCCAAACACTTTGGTGACACAGCGCAGCCTGAAATTCCAGCTAATGGCCGGGAAAGATTAGGACACGAGCTCTGAGTTTTGGTTGTTAATTCTTAGTTAATGTAGTGAACGTTACTGCTCAGTTCTCCAGAGATGAACTTGAATCCCAACATCCTCCCCTGAACATTGAAATGGTCCTTCCCCAAATCGGCAGAAGACTGGTTGTCAATCAGTTGACTTCAGTGGAAATTTCCACTGACTTCAGTGTACTTTGGCTCAAGCCCAAGGCTCATATCTGTGTCTTCTAACCATTCATGCAGCGTCTCTGCTTGCAGCTTTGCAAGTGTTCATGGAAAATACATTTTAAAGCTCAAGTGAGGACAGAGGTTGAAGGTAGTAAGAGGGACTAAAGAAGCGCAAACTAGTTCACAGATTTCTAGACCAGTTTGAGACCAAGGGAAAAATAGATCTCTATATTCATTGCACCCAGTATTGCAGGTGACCACTCTACAGAAAGTCAGTCAGACTTAGCACTAATGGCTGCAAGTCAAGCATTCTTTTCATTCCCAGTGTTTACAAAGAATGATTTTTCCCCATTATTGTGGGTTTTGGTTTTTTTTAGGTTTAAACTTTGAAAGCATTTTCTTTAAGTTTTTGAGGTTTTTGGGGTGGAGTAATGACATTTGCTTGATACCAGGAAACAAAAGCAACCAAAATTGAATGAGTTTAGGAAGGATCAGTTTCCTCTAAGGAGAAAAGTCTTTGCTGCTTAAGAGTTTCATGTGTTCTTTGGAGAGGGAGAGACAGGGTAAGGTAGTAAGTAGTGTATTTTTCCTGTTGAATATAGGAAGAAGACTATGTTTCTTTCTGCCTTAGATCTGTGACCTAAACGAAGTTTGAAGGTTAGCGCAGCTATGCCACCTTCAATGGTAATAATTACTATAATGAATATCATTTTGAATTTTTGTATTTACCAGTATTTCGTTTTGATGCCAGTTTCTGTCTTTCAATCCCCAGCAGTGCAAATGGAAGGAAAAATTATTTGTTGTTAATTTTCATGTGCGATTTGTCACGTACTCCAGCAAATGCATTGTCGTATATGCACCGTGCGCATAATTATTTGCGAGACCATCCTTGTCCTGACATGAAGATGAAATGGGAAGGGAGCCAAAACACGGGGAAAATAAGCAATTTCCCCAAGGTCACGCAGCAGGTCAATCCAGCCCCCGCTCCCTGGTGCCATCAGTGATTTGCACATTAACGTTAAGGCACCGCAACAGGAGCTGGAGGGGGATGGAAAAAAATAATGAAACCTCTGCTCCAACGGTGACTGAAGAAATGAAAGCAGGTTTTTGGCCTGCTCCTACTGGTTCCTGCTGGAGGTGGGGTCGCAGATTGTGAGAGCATCTGCCATTGGGTGAGAGAGTGGGTGGATTTATGGCCGGCGGGGAAGCCGAACCGCTGTAGGATTAAGAAGGATATTTCTGTCGCGGTGACTGGTTATTAGTTCCTTTCTGAGTTACACCACGCAGTGCCCTGGTCGTTTTGCTTTGTGTGGTGCTTTGAAGGTGAAAAAGCACAGATGTGAGAGCAGCACTGCCATCACCCCCGAGTAGAGACCTGAGTACAGCTCAGACAGGAGCTGCACGAGCTCGCTAAGACGCAAGTGTCTGGCATCATGACACCAAAGAGATATAGTAGCCTGGGGAGAAATGGTGCATTCCAGTCTTCTGAGGAGGACTTCCAGAGAGACTTGGAGCTGGGAAGCTTGCTCTCCCGACAGAGCACTATCGTCAGGTCTAACCCTGCTCTCAGGGAAAGTCAGCTGGTGCGCGGTTACTGGTCAAGGCCAGGCTTTTAGCTGTGCTATACTTATCAAAGTAAATGCTAGCCAATGCACGGGAAAGGGCTTCTTGGAGGATTGGGAGCAGACTCACTCTAGCAGAAGGGAAAGGGCATCCAGGAGGCCATGTGAGCAGCAGTGAAGAAGCGAGAAAAGTTTGTGTGCCACGTGGGCTTTAAGGGGACCCTGACGGCCGTGATCTCTGTTGTATGGCTCTCCAGCTGCACAGGGACGGGTAGACTCTGTGTATGAGCAAACAGTGCTGTAAAAATGAATGCCACTGATTGCTTTTGGCTTTCTCGGGACACAGCGGCACCAGAATTGCCATGAGCTTTACTTCTGAGCGCTGCTTAAGCCTCATCTCCTTGGCTGGTCCCTATCACCAAACAGCTGCAGGTTGGTGCGCCGCTCCCTCTGAGAGCAGCTGAGAATAAGCAGGTGATGAGACATCTTTCCTGTAAGCCCCAAGCCCTGCGGGGGCTTTTTGGGAGAGCTGTCTGGATTGCTGTGCGCATTCCCCGTGGTGGTTCCTCCACGTGGCTTTGTGCTCCCGTGGACGTGATGGGCGTGCACCAAGGCGTACGTGCGCACACCCGTCCCCACTGCAGCTGCGTCCGGCCCCACACCAGCTGGATGAGGCTGTATAAAAGCTGTAGATACTCATTGGCCACCATCACCACCAAAGTAGCTGTTATCTCAGTGGTTGTGTTGAATAGGAGCTGGGAATAGAGAGAAATACCGTCAATAATGTGACAGGCGGCTCTGTGCGTCCTCCTAAAGGCTGGTCTCTCCAGGAGAGGGGTTTACCGTAAGGTCTGTGTGAATGTGATTCAGAGAACAAGGGCTAGGGATGGGTAATGACCAGAGAGGGCAAGAGGAGACTTGGAGCATGTTGTAAAAGCAGAATTTAAAAAAAAAAAAAAAAAAAAAGGCAGAAGAAAGGGAGGAAAAAACAACCCAAAAAAAGGCAAGGAGAAAGAAAAATTGAAAAGAGCAAGGACAACGAAATAGAAAGAAAGAGATGAAAATGAAGAGATGAGCACGCTGGAGGAGTTATCTTGATAGGTAGACACATCTCTCTCCAAATTTAATGTCCATCTGTTTCTCTACGGCTACAGAACTAGCCCGTATGTTATACAGCATTAGTGCAGGTGACTTCCCTAGTGCCAGAGCTGACAGGGACCATCATGTTCTTTCTGTATGCGCTGCCTGAAAACTTGTGTTTTACCCAGTGAGCCCTGTGGGGAAGTGAGCTGCCTTCTCTGCCAGCAGTTTGTTGAGCTCAAATCTAAGAAAACTGCAAGACCAAAAATATTCCAAGACCTTCTCACCCGTGAGGTGAGAAGGACAATGAAAACGTGCCCCGACTGGACTATTCTATATGGCAAACGTCCTGACATCATGGGAGCGCAGCAATTCTTTGCCTGCACCATCTAATCTGCTCTGTCATGACATTTTTTTTTTTTTTTTTCCTCACCCTTTAGGAAACCACGATGGATTACAGCTCGTTCAGCGGAGTGCCCCGGTTCTTGACCCGGCCTAAGGCGTTTATGGTGTCTGTGGGGAAGGATGCCACCTTGAGCTGCCAGATCATTGGAAACCCCATCCCGGTTGTGAGCTGGGAAAAGGATAAACTTCCAGTCCAGTCTGGGGGAAGGTTCAAAACCACAGAAGATGGGGATCTCTATCGGCTAACCATCTACGACCTGAGCCTGGAGGACAGTGGCCAATACATCTGCCGGGCTAAGAACACCATCGGGGAAGCTTTTGCAGCTGTCAGCATCAAAGTCGGAGAGGAGACCACAGTAACGGAGTCAGCCCCATACTTCATCCAGAAACCCTCCTCCATCAAAGTAACGTTGGGAGAAGACGCCATGTTCAAATGTAAAGTCCAGGGCAGCCCTCCCCTCTCGGTGAACTGGGAGAAGGATGGGAGACACCTGCGGAACCGGGCTGATGCCGGCCGCTTCCAGATCGAGTCTGCTGGGGAGTCAAACGCTCTCACCATCCAGTGTGCCCGGCTGGGGGACAGCGGCACTTACACCTGCCGGGCAGAGAATCCCATCGGCTCTGCCAGTGCTTCGGCCGCGTTGGTGGTGGAAACGCAGGGCTCTTCCAACCCGGGCAGCAGCAGCCACTTGGATACCAGCTGCGGCAAGACGGCATCCTTGTTGTCTCACTTGCAGAAGAGGCGGGAGGAGATCAGGAAGATGGACATCTCCCATGGCGCTTTCGATTCAACATCTGGCCAGACTTACTCCACAGCAGAAGGTCTCTCTGGCATCGGCTACGGCCTTTCCTGGGATTACGAGAGAGCGGCTGGACTCTCCACCAAAGGGCCCCGCAACGCGACTTTTGGGGCATTGACACGCACGTGCAGCGTGACGGAGGGGAAGCACGCCAAGCTGAGCTGCTACGTGACGGGCGAGCCCAAGCCAGAGATTGTGTGGAAGAAGGACAACGAGGTCATTTTGGAAGGGCGGCGGCATGTCATCTATGAGGATGATCAGGAGAACTTTGTGCTGAAGATCCTCTTCTGCAAGCAGATAGACAACGGGCTGTACACCTGCACGGCCTCCAACCTGGCAGGCCAGACGTACAGCTCCGTGCTCGTCACCGTCAAAGGTGGGTTCTTATGTTCCTCATGGGGGTGGACAAGCCTGCAAGGAACAGCCAATGCACTTCTGAACTGGGGTGGGAGCACGAACAAAACTTCTGCCACCAAACTGCTGCAAAGGAGTGTGGGTTAGATATGAGTAAAGCCCTCCAGCTGTAAAGGAGGTTAAGCACTGGAATAGATGACCTGGGGAGAGAGAGTCTCATCAATGCGGGGTTTTAGGAGGGGCAATAAGCAGGCACCAGTCAGGGGTGGATGATGTAGAACTGTCTGGTTGTGGGGCAGCTGGGATGAACCAGATCTCTAAAGCTCCCACCCATCCTGGTTTTGTAGTAATCCAAGAGATCCGTTACTATCCTTTGGACCAGCGACTGCTAAAGCCTCATCTTACCCTCCAGGCTTTAATCACATCTGGGTTTATATTCACAGCAGGGTTTAGTCAAGCTGGCACACATGTGCCATTTAAGCATCAGTAGAGGAAACTCCTGTCTGCAAGCTGAGTGTGTCAGGCTGCCTTGGATCCCTTGGGGGACCTACTCCAACTCTAATTACAGTCCCTCTCAGTTTTCCTGTACCAAGTGACCCACCAGCAGCCTTGTTCTTGCCAGGCCCTTCAGCCTTTTCCCACTTGTGTTGCTGGATAGCCTGTAGTCCTTGTATGCTCCCAGAACTCTGCCGGGTCCAGGATGCCTCTGTTTGCCACTGTCACTGGTGAAGAACTTGCCTTCAGAGGGTTCCTCAATGCTCGTGGAGGTCAGACTTACAGAATGGCGACAAAAACATGATACACATGTTTTCACACAGGACGCTCTAAGTTTTCAAGCTGCTCTGCCGTTTGGCAAGGTTACAGCAGGCAGTTTGCAACCCAGGCAGCACCTGTAAATTAACTCTCAGGTGTAAGAGGCTTTGCCACTTGAGTGGCAAAATAGATGTTCTTGACTAGCAGCAAAATAAATTAGAAATCCAAACGAGTAGGAATGGTCTGTGTTTCACACCAGCCTTTGAGACTCTCAGCTTTTTTTATTTGGTTTTCTGGTTTCCCTTTTCTGGACCTATCCCTTCACACTCACCGTTTTTCCTGTCAGTGATTCAGTCCCCGTGTCCATCAGAGCCACCTGATCCGTGGAACTCGCTGGCACTTGTCCCACGCATTGCTATCCCCTGGAGGTGCTGAGCGGTGTTGGGAAGGGCATTTGTCCTCTTCCATAAAGCTGTGATTACCTCATGAGTCGGGACTCAGAGCTGAAGACTGGCCCTTGGGTGGGTGTTCACTTTGAGGGTGGCACAAGCTCTGTCACTTGCCCAACGCCTGCCTTGCAAAGACAAACGCCCTCCCTTCTGCCCATGCTTGTTTGTTTGTTCTCAACGGAGAATAATCCAAAGGAGACGGAGAAAGCATGTGAAGCAGCAGGTCTGGGAGCAAGCACCACGGGAAAAAGTTATTGATCAATGTCCATTGTCAGGAGACGCCTGTGAGTCAGAGGGCTTAAGTGGAGATGTTTATGGGCCGTTTCATCGTTATACTATACCAAGTTGGGGTTTCTGACCAGGCCAAGGCTGCCATGGAAAATCTACGTGTGTTGGTTATAATTAGGCCCTGAATAATGACTCTCCTTTGTGTCACCAGAAGTCCTTCTCAGCCCTCCAGAGACAGCTCAGAGTGATGTAGTAATGAAGGGAGCTTTTAATTCTGTTGTTGATGCCATTGGTGATGCCATTAGCTCATCTGCCACCAGGTTTAGGGGGGGGTAGGTCATCTTGCCACACAACCTTCTCTTTGCTCAGTCGTGCAGAAGAGGATACGTTCTCCAAGCAGCCATCCTTGGCAAGCACCATGCTGCTGCGTTGGTCTTTCTGCAGGTAACAGCATATTTATAGAGCCTGTGTCACTGCATCCACAGCGTGTGTCCATAGACACACGTACCAGGAGAGACAAACTTCAAGGGTTTAAATATACTGTGGCATTTTGCTTCACAGAATTTCATCACAAGAATCTGAGTGAGGATATCTCTAGGTCTTTTAACAGTAATAATAGTAAAAAAGACTGCCAATCCCAGCATCCTGGCTGTAAGGTGGCTCTTAGCACTCTCTCAGGGCATACGACAGGGCACAGGTCAAACCTCTCCTCTAGCTGGCCTCCTGTATTCTGTCAACCTAGATCCTAGACCTAGACACTCAACACATTTGTAAGTGTTTGCTGAATCCATGCCTTAAAGATCATTGAGCTGGAAAAAGAAAAAGAGCTGTTTGAAAAATTCGAAAGAATTTTTGAGCTTTTCCAAAATGATACGTAGTGAATCAGATGTAAATCTCAAAGGAGAGGCTACAGGGCGAAGTGTCACTAACAATTAAGGAAAACCACGAGTTGATTACTCTGATTCAGAAATGTGCTGGATTCTAGTGTCTAGAGCAGGGATAAAATCCCAAGCCATACGCTGAAATGTGAGATGTAAAAGAAGTTAGGAAATACTGCCGAAGGGTAAACCTTTACATGGGGGGAGGTTTAGATTGGACATTAGGAAAAATTTCTTCACTGAAAGGGTTGTCGAGCATTGGAACAGGCTGCCCAGGGAAGCGGTCGAGCCACCGTCCCTGGAGGTATTTAAAAGACACGTAGATGTGGCACTTGGGGACATGGTTTAGTGGTGGGCTTGGCGGTGCTGCGTTAACAGTTGAACTCGATGCTCTTCTGTGTCTTTTCCAACCTAAATGATCCCATGATTATATGATTTTTGCCAAACCAAAGAGCAGAGAGGATGCGAGGAACATGAATAACTGACTTGAATTTCCTGAAGGCTTTGGAGATGTCCCCAGGCCACGTGTAAAGTTAGCGAGAGCAGCTTACAGGTCTCCATCCTTGGGCCCAAGCCGAGCAATGTTCATCTGAGCCCCTGAATACAGTAATCAGATACTGTATGAAAAGGTTAAAGGTTGCAAGCCAAATAGGATAGAGACTGGAAAAACAGGCTGGTGCTGAGGCCACTTTATTCTCCCTCTGACCTGAAGTGATTTTAGATGACCACTATCATGGTAATCACATTTGAGATCTGAAGGAGAACTGTAGAAATGTGGAGGTAGAAAGGAAACTCGGAAAGCACAGTAACTAGGAAGAAGACCAAAGGCAGAAGATGGTGGAAGCTTGTCATGCACCCTTGGATAGCTCCCTCTGGAAGGATTTTCCATATTCTTACTCTCACTGGATCATTTTTCTTAGGCAGAGAGAAAACTTGCCTCTAGAATAATAAATGGAGGGTCTGTGAGAAGGCCAGGAATAGGCAAGGGGAAAGGAAGGGAAGTGAGAAGATCAGGTCAAGCAGAAAAGCCTTGGGAAGGTTAAGGAAACATTGGCTTCTTTGCAGGCTGCACCTATTCTTAGCAAAATATGTGTTAGCAGGACCTGCTTTTAAAAAAGAACATCATCTCATTGCTAGTTTGCTTGGTATGGACCAAACAAAAAAGCCTATGACACTCTGGAGAAATATGGTCTCAAGACAAGCAGCCAA